ATATTTTCTGTCTTGTTGTGGTCAAAATATATAAATAATAATAAACTGGTAATAATATTGATACATTTGTATTGCTGTTAATTTTGACAGCAAATTTCTAACCACAGCACTGGGTCACGGTTACCCTTTGTCCTCCCCTCAGCGTCATGTCGTTGCTTCTGGTTTTACCTAATATATTATTACACTTGTAAAGGTCCACAAGATGTGATGAGGAATAACTGGATGAAATGGAGTGTGTGAATACTCCCATTTCGAGTCCGCCTTTGCTAAGTCTTGTTTGCGCACAAATGTAAAATAAATGAATAAATGATATCAATAAAGAGTAAGACCTAATTATGACTTGTATGTCGCTGGCGGCCGAAAATGTTTGAAGTTGAAGGGAATTATTAATAGGAATGACAAGAAAATGTTTGATTTGGCAAACAATGCAATGCGCTCCTAGATTCGAAATCCGCGGGACATTCAAACAAGCACTGGAACCCGGTGTTGATAAAGTAAGTTAGTAATCACGTGAAAAAGTGACGTAACGAATGAAACTGCGAACACGGTGCATTGTGGTCTAAATTCGTTATACATAGGCATCTTTGGAATTTCATTGACATAAAGCTTTGACCGACAAATACCGCAAGTGGAATTTTGTTTTGAAAGTTGTGGGGGAAAAAAAAAGGAAAAAAAAAAAAAAAAAAAAAAAAAAAAAAAAAAAAAAAAAAGAAGCAAACATCGCAAGGCAATTTTTTTCCACACCTTAAATGAATCCACCTGACGAAAACCTGATTAGAATCAAAACTAAAGCTAGTGAAATTACAAGGGAAAAAAGATGACGAGATGATGATCGGTATACGTAACAAAATCGTCGCAAATTGATGAAGTAATTCGAGCACTTCGTCTAAACAATACGTTAAAAATTATCATAATAAACATCATTGGTATTTGGCATGAGTTGGTCAAATCCCCGGGGGGTGGCGGAGGTATGTTTTACCATAAAGTAATAAAAATATGGGTGCTTCAGGGTCTAAAATTTCAATCCAAAAACTGGCCGATTAATGTTCTTAAGCGAAACGTATTTGGAAATCAATCTTATTAAAGCTTGAAATGAAGACTAAATTTGTTTGAAAATTTAAATGGGATCAAGGGATCCGTGTACTTTTGTGTATCAAAGCCGAGGATTTGAAAATCTACCATTCCTTCTCCTTCCCCCCTTGGCTCCCCCCTTGGCTCCCCCCTTGGCTCCCCCCCACGGTGGAATGACAACACCAATCAGCTGGGATGCGAGTGTTTATCTTAAAAAAATACTAATGCTAAATTTCCGTCCATATGCGGAGAGAACGCAATACGACAGTTGTTTTCCTGTGTCGCAACAAAAGTAAAACGAAGATAAAGCGTATAAAATACGAAGGAAAAGGATCCCTGGGCAGAACAAGAAGCTAAACCAGAATAACCAAGATATCACATCATTTAACTTCTCCTGCAGTGCTCTTTTGAAGGTGAGTGAAATAATCTGTACTCTGCAGTGTCTAGGGATCAAAATATAGCAAGTTTATAGGCGACAGATATTTTTCATGAACCAGATATAGAAATTCATAGGCGATTAAGCGCTCGCTTTTATAACAGTTAGAAATCATTTGTGAATCAGAAGCTAGTTTGATACATCAGTTCCTAACAGTTTAAAAAAGGTTTTGAGTGTTAAAACAAAACGAAAATTGGGATCAAAACTGATAGGAAAGTCTAGTTTTTTGGCGCTTTTTGCCATTATTGAAAAAAATGTCCCCTTAAGCTATTTTAGGCTAGGCCAATAGCCACGAATTCCATTCATTCTTAAATACATATTTATATTAAAACCAAGGATCTTTACACATCAACAAATAGAAATCTCCTTAACAACGAAACGGTATTTTTAAAAACTTAAAAATAAACAACTGTCTGATAAAATGAGTAATTTTTGTTTTTTTAGACGCTATTGATAATGATAAGAATTTCGACCTTCGCTGTGTGTGTGGAGGCAATAATTATTACCATGGTGATATCTGCATCACTACGACACCAAGCTACTAACAAACTGAGAGTCACAAGACAGAACCATAAATGTCCTCCTGGAGTATGGGGATGTAAAGCCAGTCAACTGCAAGCTACTAACAAACTGAGAGTAACAAGACAGAACCA